TCAATCCAAATGCGGACGATTAATGAATCTTGAAGTAGAACTTACGATGTCAGCAAACTGACATACACAAATGGTAGAAACAGTAATTATTCAAATGAAATCATACAGATGTAGATGCTGACGAAAATAGCCACCATCAACAGTTAGTCTCCTAGACCACTTTCACTTGGGTACGACTTCAATATCAGGCTACATTTATGTGAATAAATTTGGTTATGATGGTACCTAATCACGACTTATTCCTCATAAATTTCTGCAAAGGAATTAATGTCACCGCAGAAATATCAGTTTCAGTAGATGTACATAACATTTTCTGTGAAACTGTCGCCTCAACTCTTGATAAAGCTAAAATGATTCAACAGTTGATGAAATCTGAATAATTTCCTCACCAAGAAATTTGATAAATTCAGAAACGTTGGACGAAATTTAAAATAAGCCAACCACAATCGCGTCAGTTACACTGATTGGCGATTACCTATAATTTCCATCTACAAGTGCTAAACTGGATAAACGTGAATCACCACAACCAAAGTGTATACTATCTCATTGAAACTTCATTCCAACAAGGTATAATAATGCGAAAAGAATCCATGGACTTCAACCTTCACAGAGAGCGTATTAAAATCGATTGGTTCAATAATCTCGACCTCGATCATCACGTGATATGGCTCAACCACAATCCAGTAATATTGGTAGCCATCCTTCTCATCCCCCAAACCTACTTTACCTCACACATCATATAGAGCACTAAAATAGGAGGGAACAACAACTCTCCAATGATACCAACTCTCACTGATAATTACTTCATAAGAGAAAAACTTCGACATGAATATTCATATGAATATGAACAATGAATTCTCCTCGGAATGTCATCGAATAAGCTAGCTATAATGTGTCAGTGTGTGCCAAATCAACTAAACAATTTAATATGTAATGCGTATGGAATTTGATTGTTTAAGTTGTTTATGGATGATAGTGTAATTTATATATGTATGTCAATTGTGGTGACCCCACCATGGATTGAAACCAGAACTTTCACGATTCTTGGACAGCTCATTACCATTGCAAAACTAGTTCGATAGACCTCTATCAATGTTAAGCGCAACTAATTGGTCACCAGTAGTCAGCCAGTTTGCATATTCAACCCTTAGTTCTTAGAACTGATGGAAGTCTATCAAACAAGTTTTGCAATGGTAATGCGCTGTCCAAGAATCGTGAAGGTTCTGGTTTCAGTCCTTGGCGGGATCACCCAGTTCTCAGCGCTGCGGAGTTCTTCACTGGAATGAAACGTCTGTCTAGTTTTGCTATGTTTCCAAAGTTTCTGTGACTGATATCAGCCTGTTATGAATACCAACCTAAGGACAATAATTATCATTCGATACATTTAACTTGTCCTTACAATAGTAACAGTGTGATAGCTCAATAGTTCCACTGTCATTTGATACATAGAATCTTATGTATTTCATCACTATCGATGACTTATTTAATCTGGATTAATGACCGTATTATGCGTTTTCTGGTTTTACCAATGACCTAGTGACATGTAATCTGTTGTATCTTTTAGATATGCGTGATCCATTTCCATTATCTCTGCTCTCTATTAACTAATAACAATTAGTCAGATAATCTTCTTTTAAGCATCACGATTTACCTTCATGGTACTTAGATTTTAGTAAAGTAGAAAGTGAAGGGTAAACATGACTTTCAAACAATCACATAATAAGGACAATGATATGTGTTTTACAAAACGAGAAAAATATCTAAATTTGTGAGGGGGGACTGTGATTCTAAAGCCACAAATGTTTAAGGGTTAAAATTAAATGAAATCAAATACTTATTTTGGACAATTAGGAGTCCTATAGTATGAGAATAGAGTTAGTTAGACTGTTACAGAATAAAAAACCTCAGAAAAATAAAAATTCGTAGACTTTAACGAGGGAAAGAATTCAGATATTGGCTGAGCAATATATATATAGGTAATTGCGACATCTCACAGAAAAGACAAACTATACCATAGTGTCCCGTCACCTTACTTAGTCACCACATTACAAAACTTGTTGGATAGACTTCCATCGATGTTAAGTTCTAAGGGTTAGATAAGCTAATTGGTTGACTACTGGTGAGCAATCAGTAAGCAGGCTGAAAGTGGTGTAGGATAGAGTGAAAGTTCTTAAGACTGGACTTGTAGAGTGGAGGAAAAGGTTGTTAGCCGAATCCTCATTCGTCGAAGCAATATCAAATGACTGAGCACCTATTCCAGATATATGAAAGATTAGACTACCCATACCAAGGAGAGAGAGAAGATATATATATATATATATATATATATATATATATATATATATATATATATATATATATATATATATATATATATATATATATAAACGACGTTTCACGGCGTTATGAATTCGTCATGAAGTGATTGAAGGCAATGAATTGTATCGGAAGAGGTATTCCACAAATCGTACTGTTAGACTGTATAGTAGCTATGTCATTTTGTGTATTTCATGTAACACAAACTGAAACACCGTTGTTTAATTGATAAACTAGTGGGAATTGTGTGAGACTCCACAGCAATGTGGACTCACAATCACACCAGTGATGATATATTCAAGACCTTGTAGTTCCCGTGGCTAGCAAGCTACCATTGAGCTACTGCATCGGAATCCAATGGTCGCCGGTGCGCACTGTGGTGAAGTTCCATACTAGAGCAAATTAAATGTCAAGTGAATCCAGTTTCACAGTTATTCTCCAACTGATATCAGTCTGGAAATCATTCCACACAAACCTCCAAACTGGTCTAATGTTGTGTGTAATTTGTCATTTGTACTTTTAACAACTACGTCACTTCAGCATTCAATGTTTGAAGAGAATTCTACTGAAAACCTAACATTTGGTAGAATCATGCCAACACCCTATCAATTCTTCAACATAATTTTGGAGAATATCAGGGATATTAATTTGACACTGAGGAACTTATGGTGTTATCTGATGTTACAGCTGTATCCACTTCAACTGAACTGAAATAAGTTAAGGATACAATGATAGCACAACGCCAATGATAAACACCTTTGGGAACTCACACAGTCTACATGTTCAATTTTAATAGAATTACACTATATTTAAATTTCAACAGTACACTTTGAGAAACGATGATCGGAAAAGCGTTGGAATCTACTACGTGAAAAGTAATTACAGAAGCAGTAGTGCTGAGATTATAAGCTGTTGTATCAGCGTTCACTAAACCAAAGCATGGAGTTCACTATGTGAGTGACTTATTTTAAATCAATACAGTAGACGAGTCGGAGGGTGCTTGCAAATGATCAATATTATTTTCGACGACATTGAATTGTTGTTTGAAGAGGAGTGAAGAACAGAAGTGTATTTATTGTGCTGAGTATACGAAAATTGATTTTATGAAATTTGCGAACTGTAATAAGCGGAAAAGTATCCCAAACGTATCATGTCTACTAATACAATAGTGACAATTTATCAACACATAAAGTTAGTTTCATAATGACCCTGTTGTAAAGAGTAATGAGACACTGGATGTAGTATATCAGGTTCATGGAGAAATGGAGAAGTGTACATTATTATTATTACTATTATTATTATTATTATTATTATTATTATTATTATTATTATTATTATTATTATTATTATTATTATTATTATTATTAGTTGTCCCTTGGGTTCCTAATGAAATATGAGGATTCAGTAGCACATCTCCATTACACTCTCTTCTCTACAGTCTGTTGAACCTAGCACCACAACTGCCCACAAACTCTCATTTCTTCCTCACACAATCTCCTACATGTCAACCTCACCTCGGACGCCCAACTCGTCGTTTCCCCTTCGGATTACACTCGACTGCCTGGCTTGGTCTGGCCTGGCCTGGTCTGACCTGGCCTGACACGTGATGTCCCCAGTCGGCCTACTCAGTGCATGCCCAATACCATCCATCTCCACTTCCTTCTGAATATTTGTTGAGCGATAGGTTCTTCGTCGGTTGGTTCGTTCCCAGAGTTAATTCCTTGATGCTCATTCTCATTATTCTGGCCATCTGATCTGATCTGATCTGATCTCCAGTATCAGTATCGAGTGAGCGTGGGTGGCAGCTGTTGATGAATGTCTGCAGTTTGCTGTAGGTGCTTTCCATGACACGCCAAGTCTCTCAACCACCACATGGAAGCACTGACTTCACTGACATTGGTGTTGAGAATCCGGATGTTGTTCACGCCTTAGGCTGAGTGCAGAAGATCTCCACACTGATTTCAGATTAATGAAGGCCTGTGTTGCTGTCTTTCCTATCCTGACTGGCTTTGACATCCTCGTGTGTGCCTGTGCTGCCTGTAGTTGAAACGATGATGCCCTGCATAGGTAGGTGTAGGTGAAAGAGACTACTTCCTTTAGGTTTCTCCCGTTAATGGTGATTGGAGCTTATTGTTGGTGGTGGTGGTGTTGGTTGGGTATATTCATCACCTCTGTCTTCTCTACGTTCACTTGAAGTATCGTCTTCGCTGCCCTGCCTCTTCTATCAACTTGTTGGATTTTGCCTGTATGTCTTCAAGCTTGTGTGACATTAGACATAAGTCATCGGCGGCGAAATCCAAATCTTCTTCTAAGGTCTTTACATTGGTTTGGTGTATCCCCCTCTTCTCGCTTCTCACTGTTTGTTGCATGATCCAGTCGACTACAATCAGGAATATCATGGGGGATAGTAGGCAACCTTGTTTCACTCCTGTCTTCACTTCAAAAGCATCACTGAGCTGCCCATTGTGAATTACTTGGCATGTGGCATCTTCATATAGTTGTTGAATGAGGCTGATAAAGATTTGCGGTACTCCGTAGTAATGAAGCAGTTTCCAAATCACCTCTCTGTGGACGCTGTCAAAGGCCTTCTCAGAGTCGATGAAGTTGAGGTGTAGAGTTGAGTGCCATTCTATACTCTGTTCTATGATGATGTGATGCGTTGCAATTTGGCCCGGACATGATTTGTATTTCCTGAATCCAGCCAGCCTGTTGCGGTCGTAGTTTCGAATCCAGTGCATCTTTAAGCCTCTCCAGGATGATGCGGCTTAATATTCTGCTTGGGGTTGACAGAAGAGTGATTCCACGCCAGTTCTTGCAAACACTGAGGTCTCCCTTCTTCGGCAGTTTGACAAGGTAACCCTTCTTCCAATCACTAGCCAGGTACCTTCTCTTCCTTCCACACCTTCTGCAATAGTGGTGTGGTGTGAGCATGTCCGCTGTTGTCTCTGCATCTGTTCTCAGTGCTTCTGGTGGGATCCCATCTGGTCCTGCTGCTTTCCCACATTTCAGTAGCTTTTTGGCGTTCAGGACTTCGACTTTTGTTGGAGGATTTATGTTCACTTGTAATTCAGCGGCTGTAGGTGGTATTTCTGGACGAAGTGCAGGTGGTGGTGGTGGTCGATTCAAGAGTTTCTTGAAGTCGTCAGCTCATCGTTCCCTTTGTTTCTCTTCTTTGGCAATTCAATTTCCTTCATCATCTGTTGGTTTCATGTGTGTTGATCTATTTCCAGACAGTAAGTAACCTGGTTATTTGATCCAATATTGTTAAGTCTCTCCTACCTACAGCCTATTCTGCTCCACTTGCCAGTGTTTCGTAGAAGTGTCTTTTGTCTTGTCATGCACTCTTCTTCACTTTTTTGTCCAGTGTTTTATACATTGTACTCAGTTCCTGTGCTCGTTGTTCATCCTTGCACTGGTTCATCTTCTGCTTCACCATCCTCCTCTCCCTACTCTCAGCTTCCATGTATCCATCGAGATCCATTCCTTATCAAGTTGATGGAAAAATGAAGAAGTGTACATAATGAATGTTATTATGACGTCCAGTCATCCACATTACTTTTTGTGATGATGTTTGTAAGAATTCCCATCAGATGAAATGTGATCTCCGGAAGCCAAGAAATGAATCAAAGACGAATTAGTAATTAGAATATTTTAATTATTCGACATCTAATATGTAAGGGAAATAGACTAGTTATCTTCAAATCTTTCAAGACAATGTCTAAGGTTTGTTGAGACTTTGATAGTCATATGTTTTGATTCTGACTTGTGTTTTCAAAAGGAAGTAGTTATCATTCCATTTTGAAAGTCAAATATGAGCAAGGAATATATTTTTTCAATAATTACTCATCAGATTCTACAGTTACTATTCATTCTTCTTCAGCATACGTCTGATCATCAATCAGTTGACAAAGTTTACACTCAGCTTATCACCACAATTGACATACACATATAAATTACACTATCATCCATAAACAACTTAAACAATCAAATTCCATACGCATTACATATTAAATTGTTTAGTTGATTTGGCATACACTGATACATTATAGCTAGCTTATTTGATGACATTCCGAGGAGAATTCATTGTTCATATTCATATGAATATTCATGTCGAAGTTTTTCTCTTATGAAGTAATTATCAGTGAGAGTTGGTATCATTGGAGAGTTGTTGTTCCCTCCTATTTTAGTGCTCTATATGATGTGTGAGGTAAAGTAGGTTTGGGGGATGAGAAGGATGGCTACCAATATTACTGGATTGTAGTTGAGCCATATCACGCGATGATCGAGGTCGAGATTATTGAACCAATCGATTTTAACACGCTTTCTATGGAACCAGAATTCTAGCTTGGTGGTGGATGCTTATTACTTAGGAGTCTCATAGGTTGATGAAACCCCTGTCTAATATTTCTTGGTGGTTGAAATTTCTGCAGTTGATATCCTTATTTGATGTATCAGCACTTTGAAGTCTATCAACTATTTATATTTTCTATATATGTGCATCTCATATTCCTTTCACTGCATACTTGTTTTCATCAAATTATATCATACTTAACCTGCTGCTTTTGACCCTTTTTTTATTTTTGATCTATTCACGGAGTTCCTGATGAAATCTTACATTTTATCCCTTTAAATTACTTTTCTGCTACTTTGGTCATTTTGTAAAATATTTCAGTTGTATTATGTATGTAATCATGGTATTCAAGCATATTTTGACATTTTATTCTGTTAAACTTTCTTGTCATGCAGTTCATGCATTATGGTTTCTGTAAGTGGAATGTCTTAGAATGAATCCTTATTAATGTCTAACTTTACATGACAGTTTACTGTCAGTGAATACCTGCTATAAAAAAAGAGGGAAACTATCTAAAAACATGATTCTCCGTTTAATTTTGTTTTAAAAGACATTTCATACAGAAATTCTTTCATAGTATTACTAAGAGGCTTAGTTCAACGGCTCTGTATTGACTTCTCGATTATTTCCACATTGATAATGGACAGTAGTTAACTGAATTTAAGAGTATACCATTAAAAGTCATCAATACTACTTATCTGCTATCGTTTTCGAAGTTTAGTAGAAATGGTTCAACAGTATCAGATTCCTTTTACTATTTTTATTAAGTATAATTATTGAAAAGATTATGTCAGTAGTGTATGAGTAAAACGTATACACTATGTTTAGATAATTTTACACTGAATTGGATAGTAAATTACCGAATACTCAGTCAATGGTTTAGTACGATCGACTCATTACCACGGAAATGTGACGATACACAAAGTTTGAGTAAGCGATTACCAAAATTTCTGACTGTTAGTCAACTGACTGTGTGAATTTATTTATTCATTATATGGCATACAGCGAAACATCCATGAAACAAGATAGTTCCTTATGTACAGATGACTTGGATAAGATAGCATAACATTTCTAAGTATATGAGACAACTATCCGTCAATCAAGTTTAATTTGAAGATCATCTACTAGCCAAAATTTTTTTTAAAAATTTCTTCAGTTCTACTTTCCTGTCCATTATGACGCTAATATCAAGTGAAGCATTCACTAAGTTTATGACATCGTTTCAACTACAGGCAGCACAGGCACACACGAGGATGTCAAAGTCAGTCAGGATAGGAAATACAGCAACACAGGCCTTCATTAATCCGAAATCAGTGTGGAGATCTTCTGCACTCAGCCTAAGGCGTGAACAACATCCGGATTCTCAACACCAATGTCAGTGAAGTCAGTGCTTCCATGTGGTGGTTGAGAGACTTGGCGTGTCATGGAAAGCACCTACAGCAAACTGCAGACATTCATCAACAGCTGCCACCCACGCTCACTCGATACTGATACTGGAGATCAGATCAGATCAGATCAGATCAGATCAGATCAGATCAGATCAGATGGCCAGAATAATGAGAATAAGCAACAAGGAATTAACTCTGGGAACGAACCAACCGACGAAGAACCTATGGCTCAACAAATATTCAGAAGGAAGTGGAGATGGATGGTATTGGGCATGCACTGAGGAGGCCGACTGGGGACATCACGTGTCAGGCTAGGTCAGACCAGACCAGGCCAGGTAGTCGAGTGTAATCCGAAGGGGAAACGACGAGTTGGGCGTCCGAGGTGAGGTTGACATGTAGGAGATTGTGTGAGGAAGAAATGAGAGTTTGTGGGCAGTTTTGGTGCTAGGTTCAACAGACTGTAGAGAAGAGAGTGTAATGGAGATGTGCTACTGAATCCTCATATTCCATTAGGAACCCAAGGGACAAATACTAATACGGATAGCGGTTCGCAGTTTGGAGTTCAGAATGCGCGTTTCCTCCTACCTAAGACTCGTCAGCTGGATTTACTTACCCCTAATATACGACATCTTTCTCACTAATACTGAAACCTAGAACCGATCGCTTCAAATGCCATAGCGTTACTCGTGAGGTAGCTCGGTCACTATAACTACACCTTTTGAGATTGCCATATTTTTGATGTTATTGCTTGTAGCTTTCCGTCGTTGAGTGGACCGAATTGACCGGCCACATCTTAGTTTATGCTTTTCTCTCGAACTTCTTTGATCCCATCATATCCTGCTTATTAAAGCAGAACCTTCCGCTAAACATTTAATATAAGAAATTTGTGACTTTCTCTCATAACTCAGTCTCCACTTTTACGTCTCTTAAATTCTTGGGTTTTCCCTACTCTTATTCATTAATCCCTGTTAAACTTTCCTGGACTTTAAGGTACAGGATTTCGAAAGATGTCGGTAGAGCGATTGACGTACAAATGAATCTGCTGATAAGCATGGTGATAGTAAGGCATTTTAACTCTTGTAACCAGAAGGCTGCAACTATTTTCTTAGATAACATCCATCCTCTTCATACACACCTTTTTCCCTGTCTATGTTCAGAGAAGACAAGAACCAAAAGCATTAAGTTTTATGCATGAACGACCGCGTCACATATTATTTGCAGTTTTGATATTACTGATTGACAGTGGCTAGCAGTGGAATCCAGGACGCACGTTTCGTCATATTTAGGACTCGTCATCCAACATATCTCCGTCCCATTGAATGTAGTTCTCTCTGACACTCGAACACAAGACCTATCACCTCAAGGACTGAATCGTTATCCACTAGATCAATCAGTCATGATAGCCATTCCTTGTTCGATAGGTATAGTATAGTCTTGATGCTATAGGTTGTACATCTCTGTAGTGACTGAACTCAGTCGATCGGTCATTACACGTCCCTACGATGCATCAATGACACGAAAACTGAGGATACTGGCGATATTGTTTATCATGTTAACGCAAGAATTATTTGGAGTTTGATTGGCAGTCATCTGTAGTTAGTTGTCCAGCTTTTCTAATAAATTATATTTCGTTTTATATTTTCCTTTCCTTTTACTACGAAAAATTAATACATCTAAATCCTGAATACCATGCGTTTCTTCCTCTAGATGTCTCAAAGGCATTTGACTGAATAACTTTTTGTTATGATGTGAATATGTGAGAACGGACGGTAATACTTAACTGTTAAAAGTTGAAGACTGAGATAATTCAACCTCAGAGTGAAATCAAAAGACTAGTAATCAGTTGAGTTCATAGTATCTCAGAATGAATAGGATCATTATTAAAAACTGACCCTATTTATAGAATTGACAGTAACTGTGAAAAGACAGAATCATCACTACATTTAAAGTAAGTGAAGCCAATCAGAACACCAGCAGGTTACATCAAAAGTGACCTTTGTGCGGAAAAACAGCACGAAAGAAAATAATTAAAAATATACAGATAGTAAGTTTTGAATATAAGGGATAAAGGCATCCTAAACACCTTTAATGACAACTTTTAATATGACAAGCAATGTGTATTTTGAGTTAATCACAGTTTTTATGACAAATGAAACTAGGCTTAAGAAGGAGTTGGATTTTGAGGGAGTTGTGGAGATTCAGAAATATTTCAAGTTGTTATTCATCGTAGACTGACATCAGTTGAAAGAACAAGGGGAAACCTTGGAGCACTAGACAGCTGTTTCATCCTAGTATGGGACTCCTTAGCAGTACGCACCCACGACCGCGTCAGGGATCAAACTCGAGTTGTTGTATTTAGCGAGGTATGAATTCAATAGACATCAGTTTGGACGCATCAGTTGCTTTCATTGAATAAACGATTTATTACAGAGTTAACTAGGTTGCATTTAAACGTTGAGATACCTGAGCTATTCACTTTCAAAACTATTCAAGTTTTACTTGTTCTTGTTGTCTGTGGATCAATTTCGACATAGTT